TTATAAGGATATAAAAAAATAATGTTTATATAAAGGATTAAAGATATCCAAGACATAATATATTTTAGCCTACTTGAGATTATTACTAAAATCGCTTAGTAAGTTTACCGCCTTCTACTTTTTTATTAACCCTTATTATATTATATCTCATTTATACATATTATGAATAGGAATAAGTAAGATAGTATTCAACTTACGCCCCGTCGGCTTTAGTCGTGTAGACCACGTGATCTTTACATAGAAGTAATAGTTAGATCTATTCCTCGGCCCACCCTTCTCTATAGAATTTATCACTTTACTCTACACTTTTCGTTTTACTCTCTCACAGACTAGGTATATAGCGAAGACTTTTTTACTATATGATATATGTTAGAAATATAAGAAGTATCCTATAATATTTAAGCGAATATACGATAAATAATCGTAAACAAAGAATATAAGACCTAGGGTATATATGAAGAGAGTTATAGCTCATAGTAGTATGCCTACTTTTAAAGAAAAAGGAAACATTTAGCATAGTTAAGTCATAAATTTAATTACAGAGATACTATCGGTTTATATTTCGAATGTAAAACATAGGTCGAGCTTACCTCGCTATATCGCTATATTAAGAGAATTATTTAATTCTAGTATACAACTAAGCATAAGAAAGGAAGACTATTTAAGTTATACTAAACTAAAATAAATTAAAACCCATATATGTATTGCTTTTAGTACACGTGCTAGGCCTCTAAGAGTAATATTTGAGTAAGGGAGAGAATATCTATAGCTAGTTAGCGAGGAATAATAAATATAATATAGTATTATATTATAATAAACGACTAAACGCTACCTCTAAGCGAGGATGTTAGCGACGTTAATAGCTGATGTTTCTATCAGGACCATCAGGGTCCGATAGGCCACGTTATGTTGCTAATAGGTCAGCCAAGTGAGCAGCTGCTGTGTACTTAATGTGGCATGGCTCACTGCTATCAGTCATAGTGAGTGAGTGGCCTTTTTGGTCCGACCTTGGATTGGGCTGAGCTCACGCAACAATGGGCCCGAACAGCTTTAGTAGAATACAACCTTATAGCCAAAGTAGCCCTCAAAATAGGATTCTATTACCCAAGTAACCTTAGGTAATAGCTATCAGCTTGTATCTATATATCTTGACAGGCAAGAAGAAGCAACCAACAATGGCAATATTATTAGTCGAGAAACGGGCGGGGAAGAAGGGAAAAACACATGTAGATTCTGCTCATTGATATATTCTTATAGATATCTCTTATTGAAACAGCCTTATATCTCTAATATATTACGTTATTCCTATATCTCTCCACTGTAAAAAGTACATTGGAAATGTTTCAGAATAGATAGACTATAATGTTTATTTAATTGATATCCTAGTACTTCTCAGGGAGTACGATGGAGAGATCTACCTGTCAGCTCTGAGTGTCAATCATGTGAAATATACCGCTTAAAGGATTTTCCCCTTACCTTTATACTGTACGCTATTATTATAACCTCACCAAAAGTATGTTTTTCTTCTCATTATTTCCTATATAAAGTCCATTGTAATTCTACTATTAATTCGTTAATAGGCTAATCTGTCCTTTTCTTTAGAAAGGTTTCCTATTTTAATATATTACTATCACATATTTACCTTTGTAATTTTGGCTTTATACTATTTACTAATGTAATTACAATAATGTTCTGCTCTGTGTTTTATTAATAACATTACTCCAGATATACCAGTCAAATGGCAGCGCATAGCCTAAACTTCTTGTAAAGAGTGAGACATATAAGAGTAGTGGATATATGTTTATTTTAATAGTATAGTATGATAGTGAGGGCAGACAAGATAAATTATAGGAGACAACGTAGTTATATTACTTAAACTTTGATTATTATGTTCCTTGGCTATCTATAACTAAGATCTAATAGCGTATTAGAGCCTATTTGGTATAATAATAAGTACATCGGCGCTTTTCTCTAAATACAGTAAAATCTGATATTCCGTAAGCCTGATAATACTATATAGTACATTACCGGGGCTCATTCTTAATAAGGGAAGAACAAGATTTTATTATATTGGTCTACCTATTTACATAATATAAGAAGTTTTGTAGGCAATTAACTTAAGCCCATCGGCTTACAATATAAGGGGCGAAAATATATTAGGAATATATAGAGTAAAGAATATAAATAATAATTTATTTCGACGTTTATTCTTTATATTGTTTAACTATACAGACGTCTATATTGTTCTTATATATATTTTTTTTACTTCTCTTTTTAAGTCATGGCCCGGGTAAGCTGGCTACTAGGTAGTCGCCTAGCCGCACTGGATTCTATAGAGATGGAGTGAATCAGCTTATATGGCGGCTAGCTGGCTATTTTATCTTGCTTTATTTTCCAAATAAAAAGGGGTTTAAAATTGAAGAACTAGTGTAAATCGCTTGAAATCAGTTAATTACAACTCTAACGATGTCTAACTCGGGCAAATCAGTATTCTCGACATAGGCTTTAGGAGTCGTCGCCACGCGAAGCTTTCCCGACCCCTGGGATAGGAATAATTGGGCGATCAGGTGATCACAAGATCTCCGGTCCTCGTTGCATTAGCAGTATCATGGGATCCATATATCTTGGGCGTTGGTTTTTGGAGGGCCAGGAAACACACATATATAAACAAATAAATACTGAAGATGTAAATAAAAAGAATATATGAATAGGAGCAGTTATCTTCAGAGACGATTAATGAAAGGGCGTTCATTCTCTTATCATCTTATGACATTTTATGGTTTTATTGCTAATCTCTAAATCAAAGTCCTAGAAATCTGTTGGAGCATGCTAGTATCTATCACAATGGCTATGTAGGCACTTCCTTCTAGATGAAGCAAAACTCGTAATCCGTGCACGTTAATATTATGAGTATATAAAGCTAATTTGGTGCGGTAAATCTACAGTGAGTATACATTAATACATAATAGCGTTATATAAATTAGATATATATTGAAGAACTTAGATATGGAAGAGATTTAAATAATTGAAGTATACGATGATGAAAAGAATATGATATAGATTGGATAGCCGGGTAATACAGGAAAAATCGAAAAATGATAGACTGAAAATTAGATACTGATACTATAAGGAAGGTTATAACACGAAATCTATTCATAGAGAAAAGAACATATTTGGATATACAATTAGGAAATACCTAGAGCGTGATGGAGCATGAGCAGGGGCACGGATAGCGAGTTCTTGCTTCGACCTGCGTAGCCACTTCGATACTAGCTAGCTGGACGAGGTAAATAGAATTTTACTTATTAATTAGTTGTGTAAAGTAAAGGGGGTTCTAGTAAACGCAGGGTAATGCCTGTCAGCTAGGTAAGATCCTCAAGAGGGTCCCTGAGGAACAAGCGGTACACGTATTGGAAGGATATAGTGATTGATTCCTTGGATACCCACAACGTTCTCCTGGACAAGGATATATTCAATATGAGGGGAATCTGCATGCTACGATAACTTTTTTATTGTTTTAAGAAGATACATGCCACACGGGGGCCTCGTGATCGGACTGCCATATTTTTATATAGTGCTAGAAACTTTTTATCAATAGCTTATCCTTACTTCTAGTAATTAATAATACTAATACATTATGCTAACGTATTTTACATACGAGCTGGACACACAAGCGAGCTGGACACCCCAAAACACCATAGTAAATGCGATAAATCACAACATAGTATCACAACAACGGCAGGTTATAGGGACTTTCCCTTAGAGGATAATGCTTTTTAAGTGGTATCTATTATCTAAGAAGAGTTTAAAGGAATTCTATAACTTGGTAATTGAGATATATATATATTTCTGGCTTCTAGCAATGTAATTTTCGATACGGTAACTATCTAGATTTTAAATTTCTTCAGATTTGATATAGGGTGTTGAAAAGCCTTATCAACAGCTATCGGCAAATAATGAAATGAAATTAAAACGTGATTGTTGAGATATCGGTGTAGAATATATCGCATTTACTATGGTGTTTTGGGGTGTCTAGCTCGATTGGGTGTCCAGCTCGTATGTTAAATACGTTAGTTACTAGGCAACATACAACTATTCCAATATCTCAAAAGTCGCTTTCTTCTTAACCAAGTATAACGTTATATCAATTTCGAAAAGATCGAAAACTTGCATTGCTATGGTATCGAAAATTACGCCTTTGGATTCTATAAATACTTACATATCAGTAATAAATTTCTTGATTCTCTAAATCTCCTTGCAGTGGCAAGATATTATATAAAAGTCGGTAGGCTATAGAGAAAAGCTCATATAAACAGTTGTTGTTCCGTTATAATTTATCGCATTTACTATGTGTTTCGGACTGCGTCTCTCGGTGGTGTGCGTCACTTGGTAGTGAAATACGTCGGCTAGTTATAGTGACCCGTAGTAGTAAGTGGCCTACATGGGACAGAGTAGCTGAATATTTCCGTCTACGTGGGCCCGCTAATCAGCTGGCCGCTAATAGTCAAAATACGCGCGGTAATTAAATTAGTATAAGCCACTATAGTTAAGGTGCAATAGTAAATAGTAGCGTTACGGTACGGACTTCCGTCGGTCGCACCCACTCAAAAATCTTTTCACTAAAATTTGATCATCTACTACACTATCATTATCAGTCCGATCGATCTAAAACTTTCAGAATTAATAGAGTAATTAGTAAAATTTAACCTGTGCAATTTCCAGAGCGATCGGACGTATCTCGAGGCCGTGTGACGGGACACGCACCTGGGGCTATTGGGCCACGGATCTAGGGCTAATCAGGGGCCGAAGAACCGTAGTCAACCCCTGACTGCACCAAGGGTCAATAGGGTAGATCAACCAGATCGGAAGATCCATCAAACCGAATCTCTCTTCCATCTCCTCCCTCCCCAACCAAGATAAAACCTTACTCTCTCCCCTGGTCAGAAGTTCAAAACTGCCCATGCCACTCGAAAATTAAACTGACCACCCCCTCTTCGATAATGCAATATGACATCAAAAATCTGTTATGCTTACCCGCTGAAATCCTGGAGATGATTACGCTACATCTAGAGTACGCATATGAGATTAATTCCCTCTCACAAACATGTCAACGACTCTATAGCATCGCTAGTAGTTGTCTCTTTAGCTATTACACTAAAGAATGTTCTCCTCGTGGACTTGAGCGCATCGTGAAGAACGACAACACGGGCGCACTCTACAAGCTCTTGGTCAATGGACTCAACTTCGATAGATACTTTCGCATCACCGGGCACTCAACGCCCATCCATTTGACTGTCGACAAGGATCTTTCAAGAATTGCCGAGCTGCTTGTTGTCTACAGTGAGGTATTTTTGCAAAGCGATCGATGTAAATATGGTTCATCACTGGGCGGCCCGGGCCACAGGGCACATGAGGATGAACTCGAAAGGACCCTTTACCGCGCCGCGAACAAAGGTAGCCTGGGAGTCATGAAAGTGCTTGCATCTTCCGCGGCAGTAAATAAATGGCAAAGGGCCGTTGCTCTGGCGTACGCGGTCAATCGAGGCCACTTAGCCCTGGCTAGGTACTTGATCGAAGAGGCGAGGGTTGACGTCAACCAACAAATTACTCTTTCCGGTTTCTTCGAATCATTCCTCACACAAGCCGCATGTCGGGGAAATTTGGAAATGGTCAAGCTTCTCGTGAAGGCCGGTGCTGACCTTAATTGCCCGAACATCCAGCGCATGGCAAAGTCCCCTCTTTGCATCGCTGCTGCCAGGAGTCATGGGGTAATAGTACAGTATTTGATTGACATGGGCCTGCAGTTCCCCTGTGTGAAGTTCTTTGACATTTTGGATTTGGCGGAATTTTCCACCTTGCCGGACTACAAGATCTCGAATGTGGTAAAGGGGTTGACCTCCGGGCAATCATGGCTGGCCCCGAGTATCAAGGCTGTGGGGGCTATGCCAGAGGCTGCTTCTACGATGTGATTGCAGCTTGCAATGATCTGCCTCTCTATCAAGAATGTTGGGATATGCGGGGTTCATCCCACGATTGGCAGCATTTAGCGGGGAGTTTCAGAATTGCTACACTTCGTGGGAATTTGACCGTTGCGCGATACATAGTCGACAAAATGGTAAAGTCGGAAAGGATAGTTTGGGGACGTGAATGGTCGAATTTCATCTCTTACACACTAACCTATGAGAATGTTCCCGCCTTTAATATGTTGCTGGATCGCGGGCCACCGGGTGATCTACCAGAAGCCAGAAAGGGCTGGTTGAGTGGCGTGCTCGCCGAAGCTAGAGACTATCCTGAGCATATACAGGTCCTTCTGCATCGTGGATATCTGGACAAAACGAAAGATCCCTGCATTTTCAAGAAAATGCTTGCCGGCGCATTCGAAGTTGGCAATCTTGAATTGGTTTGGCGTCTGATAAACCACGGCGAACTGGGTCTCCTCGATGCACACAACGGCCCGGATCTCGAATACCAGGAGCAAACTGTCTTGCACATTGCAGCACATTACAGCTCCTTGAAAATCTTCCAAGGATTCCTATCTACCGGTAATCTGACTTTGGACCCGAATCATCCCACTCATTGCGCCGCACTAGTCAGCGCAGGTGTGGGGATGAACGTCGATGTCATCGGGTACTTTTTGGAGAAAAGTTTCGAAATCAATGCTTTGTACGAAGCGTCCGCGTTAAAAGACGATAACGTGCCGGAGGCCTTGATTATTCAAGTTGCCACAGCATGGGCCAGTGCCGATAATTATCTCGATAAAAGGACTCGTGATGATGTCGCAGCAGCCATGATGTTCTTGCTTGATCGCGGGGCTCACATAGACACAAGAAATTCTCGAGGGCAGACAGTTTTATCCATTGCAGTGGAGAATGGGAACCCGGAACTTGCTAAAATGCTGCTCAACAGAGGAGCAGATCCCCTGATTGCACTCGAATCACGCAATAATCTCAGCGCATTGGAACAACTAGTCCGGATATTCATACGGCACGAGCACGATCTGAGCTACCTCGATATGCTGCAGGCTTCTCTAGAGACCATGGCTGCTAGGGGTTATCAAAGTGATGATTTTGTCCGCCTGATGCCGAGTATTGAGGGCACACTTTCTCGTCCGAAGGTAATTTCACAGCTTGAAGATGCTCCGGATGTAAAGGGTCCCATAACACTACCGTACTACGAGGACAAGGACTATGTGCGTTGGTCACACTTCTTTTTGATCAAGGAGCTGAGAAAACAATATTGGCGGGTCACGTATCCCGTTTCGTCCGAATGAAAGTGGATGGGACGAAAAGACAAAGAACACAGCTAATTCTTGGATTGTAATTAGTCTGCATTATGTCGCGAATGTTAACTACATCAATCTGATGATGCATGAAGTATTGAATGGTGCCTCGACGCTAGATGACTATGCATATCTGGTGGATGATTATAAGTAGAATTCTGCCTGAGCATATAGTGTATCTGCCATCAGTACAATACCGTACATACTGTGTACCGTGTAACTGAATTCCACTCATATAAACAATTTCCGATCAATTTCCCTCAGGTACTTGGCAACTTGTTTTAACATGACCCACCAACCGCACCTTCACCGATTCTGCGCGGCACTGCCAATAGACAGTATGCATGTTCACCCCTTTCATACCTCATTCTGAAATCTGCTAATCAGTCGCAGCTACCCTTAAAACACGTTCAGTTGTCACACATTCCATCACGGGTGGAGCCTTCGCTTCCCTCCTCGTGACTTTCTTAAATAACATTCCCTCCTGTACATCTATTCTCACATATGCTTTTGCTCGCGGCACATTTCCTCCCTTCATAGCTCTTCAGTCAGGTACGCAGACATGGTTTCCCCCTAATTCTTCGACGACTTGATTGCGGTGGAAGTATAATACCCACCTGAGGAATTTACATTCTTTGGTTGTCAGCTCGTTTTGTCGGGGTCCCCTTATGTGCTATTTAATCTTGCATTTTTGATGCGATTGTGTCCTGCAAAAGAAATACAACTCTTGGACTTGATATCCTCTCTCATTTCGACTATATCACGAATTTTGTGCGTTTCCGGTCCTTTTTTCTCTCCGGATTGTTTAATCTTCCCATCCCAAGTATCATCAGAAATCATGGTCGTCAAGGAGGTTGAAAGTACCAATTTGACAGACCCTGACTTGCTTGAAAAAATTGATCAACTATTTGCTTGCAATATCGGAGAATACATCGACCTTCCACAGCTTGTGGTAGTGGGCGACCAGTCAAGCGGGAAGAGCTCTGTCCTGGAAGGCTTGACTAAGTTGAGCTTCCCCCGTGACAGCGGCCTCTGCACTCGCTTCGCTACACAGATCATCTTCCAGCGAAAAGTCAATTTCGTTGGTCGAGAGATCTCGGCTTCCATAATCCCAGCACCTGGTCTGGACGCCGACGAGGAACAGAAACTCAGGGATTGGCATGCTACTGGTGTGCAGGCTCTCAGCGTAGAAGGGTTTGCTCAGATGATGAGAGAGGTAGGCTTTTTAATTTACCTCCATACTTTCTTAGAATGTATCCTGACTTGACCTAGGTCAATAAGCTTTTGAATCTCTGTGATTTGCAAATTATTGGAACCTTTGGAAAGCCGACATTTTCCAACAGCGTTCTCCGGCTTGAGATTTGTGGCCCTCAGGAGGATCATCTCAGTGTGATTGATGTCCCAGGGATATTCAAAACCACTGTCCCTGGAGTCACCACAAAGGATGATATAGTGCTCGTCCGAGACATGGTTTATAATTATATGAAGAACCCACGCTCTGTCATGTTGACTGTTGTTCCAGCAAATGTGGACATTGCGACGCAGGAAATTATCGAGATAGCCCGCGAAATCGATCCAAAAGGCGAAAGAACTCTGCCTATTATGACCAAGATTGATCTCGTCGATCAAGGTACCCAAAACCGAGTAATAGATATGATCGAGGACCAAAATACGAGTGACCAGCTTGGGTGGGTTGTTGTTCGGAACCTGGGACAACAGGAGCTTGAGGATGGGAATGTCGACCGAGACCTTTTGGAAGAAAAGTGGCATCAGACCTCTCCCTGGAACCGCGTGCGAGCTGAGAATTTTGGCATCAATGCTTTGAAAAAACGTCTCCAAGAAGTCCTCACGTCACACGTACGCCGCACATTTCCATCGGTAAGCACACTAAAGAGTCTTTACGATATTTCAAACCTTATTAATGACCTCTGTGGCTCTAGGTACGTTCGGAAGCTACTAAAAAGCTCAACGAGGCACGAAAAGCACTCCAATCGCTTGGAACTGAGCGACAGACCCCAGAACAGCAGCGCATGGCTCTTCTGGGCATTGTTTCATCTTTTCAAAACATCACACAGCTGGCAATTGCCGCAAACTACAGTTTAGATGACATCTTTGATACACATCAGGATGTTCGTTTGGCAACCCTGGTCTCCAGCAGAAATGTGGATTTTTCGGACGACGTGTTCACATGGGGCCACGAATTCGCATTCACCGATACATTCCAGACGGACAAGGTACCAGAGCCAGAAGTGTCAGAAGGGTCAGAAGGGTCAGAAGAGTCGGCAGATCCACCCTTGGAATCCACTGAGGTAATCCAGCCAGCCAAACAGCATGGAGTCGATTTCATTCCAAGCCGCAGGATTCAGGAGGATGTAGAAGTGCAGGAAATCTTGCACGATGCTGTCAAACTCCCTCCAGCTCAAAATGGCATTTCCATCTGGATGGACACAGTCTATCGTGAATCTCGTGGCTTCGAAATCGGCACCTTCAATCATACCTTGCTGTCGGCATTGATGAAAAAACAATCCGCGAAATGGTCCACCCTGGCGCAAGGATACATCAGCGATGTGATCGCCATGGTCCATCGATTTATAAAAAAAGTACTCCTCACTGCCTGCGGTGATATCAGGATCTCGACCAATATCCTCACTCGCCTGTGGGATGAACTAACCGGCAAATATAGACAGGCTATTGCACATGTTGAATTTTTGTTGAAAATAGAACGTGCAGGGACACCGATGACTTTGAACCATTACTTGAACGATAATCTCCAAAAGTGCCGACAAAAAAGGTTCAAAGAAGCGCTGGCCGGGAAGACTCTGGAAAACTGTTCACATGGAGAAGTCATTCGAGTCAGCGATCTCTCATACCGTGACAACATGAGTAATGCCGAGCATACTGTCCAAGACCTTCATGACATTCTACAGGCGTACTACAAAGTGGCCCGTAAAAGATTTGTCGACAATGTTTGCATGCAAGGAGCCGACCATTTTCTCGTGACCGGTCCCGAAGCTCCCATGAAACTGTTCTCGCCATCGTGGGTCAATAGTCTCTCGGACAAGTTCCTGGAAGAAATTGCCGGGGAGGAAGGCAACACAAAGCGGAGACGGCTACAGCTGCAAAAGGAAATAGCAGACCTGGAGGCTGGTAGGAAGATCCTCTTGGGTTAATCGTGAAGAGGCTGAAGTGAAAACAAAAAATTCGATTGCTAGATGGGTTATATACGGCCAAATGCTCGCCGCTGCGATTATGGGCTTCATTGAATCCTCGACCAATTTATTCATAGCTGCCACAATGCAAATAACTCAAACCTCAGATATTATTCATTGAAGGACGTTCGCACAAGGGTTTTACTATAGAATAGTTATGCTGTGGACCCAAACAGCACTAGTGATCGTGACGAGGTTATCTTTCGTAGTGGTGGCAGATAGCGCGCTAGCGGATGGAGTGCCGGTAGGTGGAGTGCTGGTAGATGGAGTGCTGGTAGATGGAGTGCTGGTAGATGGAGTGCTGGTAGATGGAGTGCTGGTAGATGGAGTGCTGGTAGATGGAGTGCTGGTAGATGGAGTGCTGGTAGATGGAGTGCTGGTAGATGGAGTGCTGGTAGATGGAGTGCTGGTAGATGGAGTGCTGGTAGATGGAGTGCTGGTAGATGGAGTGCTGGTAGATGGAGTGCTGGTAGATGGAGTGCTGGTAGATGGAGTGCTGGTAGATGGAGTGCTGGTAGATGGGGTGCTGGTAGATGAGTAGGAGGGCGAGTTCGCTTTGTCCAATTTCTCAATTGCAATACACCGGCTACCAGTCTTTAATCCTTCATTGAGTATACAGGACGCTTGGTCCCCAGTTTTATTGTTAAAAGTGACTAGTCCCGTGTGGTTCACTTGGAGTCAAGCAGTAGGCGAGCCGCTTTCTCTACCGCATACGTCGAACTTGAACACATTCAACCCATAACGGTTGCCATTGAAGACCTCACTGAGCTCTAGAAAATTGTTAACAGCGGTCTTAATTTTCAATTGAGGGTGTCTACTTGAACAATTAATTCCATCGAGAAGGCCAAAAGGCGCGCGCAGAGTAACCCGTGCAGCCATAATTTTCATTAGACCATATCAGACATTGTGCATCATGACCTCAAGGGTTCCGGCTCCAGAAGTGCCTCCCTGGATAATGGCTAGAATTGCAATAAAGAAAAAATGCATCTTCAAGAACAATAGACTATTTTAGCTTAGATGGACGAGCGTAAGAGCACACTGCGCGGCTTTATTAGTGCTTTTACGAATATAACGTTCGTAAACGCCGGCCATAATCCGTTCAGCTTAAAAGAGCACTTGTTCCTCCATTTTCTGCTCTTCCAAAACCGAAATCAAGCAAGATAGACGATCAACACATGTTCTCCGGCAGGTGCGACAACAATGGAACGATTTCGCATGATAGAAGACCCCACAAGTCTTATCAAGCCACGTCTCTCTCTTCCCCAGTTTCTTCTTCTCTTGGCTTACATCCATCTTGAGTCGTCATTGCCAGCATGTCTTGGAGATACACGGCAACTGCAAGACATTCTTCGCCGAAGAGAAAATGAATGGATCCCGCAAATTGGCCAAGAAACATACCCCGATATGAAACAAAAGCCGTGGACAGAGACAAGTGGGGAGACACGCCGAGCCTGGGAAGTGGCTCGCAAGCACTTTCTGCAACAAAATCTGGTCCACTACACAATGTCGAGCAGAAACCTGCGGGAGTATCTCTCCAACTTGCTGCGCTGTATCGAACAGATATCAGCACAAAGCCTCAATGCAATTGGCGCCAGCTGTACTCTGTCCAAGAGCAAGCTCCACGTGCCGCTTTCGGAGAAAGCAAAACTCGTGATGGTATGCTTCAGTGTTGGCGTGATCGCAACACCAGGGGACGGTACTCCCCTGGAATTCCTACTGGTCGACCCCGATCAGACTCTAATCAAAGAACTTGATTCCAAAATATGCATCTCCCCCCTATTCAGGGAAGGTGTATCACTTTCTCAACTGAAAGACTCCTGTGCCTCATTGGAGATGTTGTTTTGCCCCGACAAACTCCGCGTCATACACCATGGTATTTTTGCTCCGACGCCTAGCTACGATCTAAAGGCAACAACGACCACCAGAAAGCAAGAGACCTGTACATGTCAATACAGCTGGAACCAAACCCAGGAGACTGTATATTCTTCACCAAAACCTACTGAGAGACCTAAGCGACATGGAGAAACCATCATTGAGACAGATGAGTATCCGAAGCGACGGAAGGGCTCCGGGTGTTATGCATAAGCAGCCTGACCACTTGCGCAAAAACGGTATGTTGTTGCTCATAGTCCCGGATTCATTTTCATGTCCTAATTCACTACAGATCGAATTGAGTTGCTGCTCCACATCATCCGCGAGCTTGGAAAAGACGGAATCACCGCTGACAGGTTGAAGGAGGTCGCTGAAGACAACAAGCGAAGTCTGGAAAATACCTCCGATGTGGGGATTTTCTTTGAAATCCTTCGCGTCCGCAAGATGGAGGAGCGCTACGGGCGCGGTGAAGTTGATCGCAACATTCCGGTCTACGTGAATAACCATGGATTTAGCCCTAAGCGCGACGAGGTAGAAGGGTCTGCTGATGGTGCCAATTGTCCTATTTTAACTGAGGGCGCAGCGGGGTACACAGAAGGAGGTCTTTTAAAACTAAGCTTTTCCATCGAGCAGCCCGCTGCCCCTCCGACCACATCAATCGGCAAAATGGGCGTGCCTGATCCCTCCTTACTAGGCAACTTTACTCTAGGCGAGCCCTGGGTGATAGGACTAGGAGCTGGTTCCGACAAGTGCAAGTGGCGGTAAATCAGAAGCGCTGGTATCGAACATCTCCCCGGAAAGGGAAGTGTGTTCAACAAGTATTTCTCCATTTGCTTATCCTTCATGTAATGTACAGCGCTGACATGTTCCTGCCCGTCGAGCAATTGAGCATCAAGCAACTTGCCAAAAATGCAAGATAAACACTCCGTCGAACTCTGTAAAGTTGTGATGTTGTTAATGACAGGAAAGTTTACGACCGTTATTGCCTTCCATGCCATTAACATAGCAACGTCTTTTGATACCCTAATCACATGATATGATTAACTGGTAATCAGTGGTGAAGCATCGGTATAAACGGAGCAAATTACTTCAAATAAATTAAATATTTGTTGTCATTATTGCTTCCGATTATATGTGCATTGATAGGCATTCCAGGTTTGAATTACGAAGAGCTGAGAAGACCGGCTCGGTATGATTAAGCCTTGTGGCCCTAAAGGCATATATCGTATCGGTTTCAGTGGACTTCGTAAAACCATCATCCAGGTAGCAGTTCACCAACATCGTCTTCGCATATTGGATCTCTGCAACTCAAATTTGAGAAGAGAATTCTCGTCCACGGCTTTTCTAAGCACCCCAATAGCAATCTCCGGTAAATCCTTTCAGAATCACGATACTATCATCATGAGTGAGGAATTCCTGGGCGTGGCGTGAAATCGACTTGATTATGGCGTCTTGGAGCTCAGTCTCGAGAGGCGGGATAGTGATCCAGATCGGTTGCAAGAGTAATGGAAGACACTTCGCGTTTTTGTCAATCCAGTTGAGAAGGCGGGTTCTTCCAAGATTTTTTAAAGGCGAAATGTCGAACTTGTTGGCTGCCATAAAAACTCTGAGGTTATTCCACATAGCTGCATGAGGGTCTATATTATCGCGCGAAGCAGATTTCGCAAAGTCCAGGGCATCTGTCTCTCCTTGGCAAACGGGGACAGCATTTACCTTGGTCCCTCCCGTCAGACCCCTGCAGAACAGAGACTGTTCTTAACACGTATCTCATCCACTTATCAGAATGAGGTTGACAAGGCCTTGAATGGAAATTATAGTGCTGATCTGGAGCCACGGAGCATACTCAAGCTTCGGATGCATTTACGGCAGTATGCGGATGATATGGCAACGAATGGGCATGCCAAAGTGTTCCGTACGATTCGAGATGAAAACGATCCAGAGTTCCGCAGGCCAGTAGATGACTTAGACAACATATACGACTGGATAAGGCGTCACTAGCTTGACTCCGGGGCCCTGAGCTACCAGGAACAGTGAACCCCATTGTGTGGCGGAATATGTTCCGCCAGTAGTCCAGCCCCATGGGAGGAATTAGCGGTCAAATTACCTTGAGAAGATTTCTCCGCGGCTCACTCTTACAATGAAACAAATTTTGCAGAAATTCTGCCTGACGACGAGTGAGAGAAGGTTTGGGGGATTATATCTTCTCGGAAAGAGGAGACATACGATCGAGCGCATGAACAGCTCCTCAAGATACTGAACGACGAATGATGGGGTATCCTGCAGACGTTAACCACTACTATGCCGATTCGCTATCGTCGATCCGTCAAGAAAGAGTCATATTTAGACTTGACACACTTGGGCTCCGTGATAGAATTGCTTTTGACATGAGCAGGGTGTTGCAAGGAGTACATCTGAGCAACGAGGACCAAACGATCTTTGATATGCATGATATTTTGAAGCTTACTACAAGATAGCAATGAAGCGCTTCACAGACAATGTCATCGTTCAGGTTTCTGAACGATACATATTAGGAGACGGGGGCTTCGGAAGACGTCTATGCAAGGCTCATGCTGACTCGGGTAATCCAACATCGTCATATCTGTTATCTTTGTCTTTAGTTCCTCAGGGCATGGTTTTCTCCTACTGGGTTTCCCCATCCCAAGCGCGAATGCGGGAGGTACCTCGTTTTTGTTATTGGTTGACCTGGTTTTCGTATCAATCCTAATGTTATTACACCCGCTTAATTAGCTTTATTGATTACTGTTTACAGAATGCTTCTCTTTCTACACGATCTGTTTTTCATACGACTGAGGTTCTATACACGTCAAAGCCGATACCATCCCACAGAATCTTAAGATCGGTAAAGTCCCCCTCTTTTCCGTGACCTTTTATTTAGTAAAGCTTGAGAGATCTTGGAGGAAAATTTACTCTGTAATCTCATCGATGAAGTTTTGGACATTGCTGCGTTGGTTTTATATAGAAAATGTTCGTCAGATAGAACTCGATAGTACTTTGATACTTTTGAAACATAGAACGTCAAGGGATAGCAAAGAGCTAGTTTCTGAATATCCAGCCAAACAGCCTAGTTTGATAATTCTTCTAATATACATATGTTTGGAAGTATCAACGTTGGTCTGGAAACGTAACCACTGTTCTTCTTTCTCAACTAGCAGTATAAATAAAGGCAAATAATCTATTAGTCGACAGCTTAACTCATTCTCTATGATACATATGTCTAGTTAGTATTGACTGACATGAACCCACTTTAGTACTGCTGGCTCATGTCAGGAGCGTGATGGAAGATGTTCTGGTAGACTTCAGAAAGGATGCGGGCATCGGCGCGAAGGGTGGGAGAGATGTTTTCACATTGCACGAGGAAGCCGATCGTGCGTCTGAGAAGGCGCTCGAGGAGTTCTGCGTCGACGAGCTCGCGCAGACTGGACATGTAGGTGGCGGATAGAACGAGCATGTTGCCAAACTGCCTGTAGAAGGAAAGAGTAATTAGTATCATCTTCCAATTCTGCGATTGCTCTCTTCCGGTCCAGTATCCTTACGCATGGGCTGTGCCGAAGATGTTGGTAACCACCAACCGATGTCCGCCTACGCCATCAAAAGCTTTCGTACTCAGAATGGCAGAATCAACGCAGATTTTGCAGGCTATGCGAAGCTTCTTTGGAAGCTCGCGTAATTGGACCTTGGGAGAACTCAAGTCATGTGCGAGTGGCGCAGCTAACGTGGAGCCCCTGTCGCTAGAGATGGGCGTCATGTTACTAGCGCGGTTGTTGCTTTGGTGCATCGTTGAGGGGAACACTTCCCGCGACGAGGTGGACGACTCCATTGAGGCATGATCGCCTAGGCCGACGCCGGCACCGGTACGGCCGTAGTGCAGGGCATAGTGGAGAAGAGGCCGATGGATGATAAACTGGGCACCATAATACTTGGCGCGCATACAAGCAGCGTTGATTTCATTGGCTGGCTCATCGGAGTCTTCCCACTTCATTATGTCAGGCAAGCTCGTGCGCCAGAGGCCAAGGTTCATGCTCAGAGTCTCTTGGACAGTTAATGACCATCGTGTTTGCCCTTGATTTTCTGCCTTGTGAATAAATTTATGAACACGATTAAGGATTTTGCGCAGGTGGATTTGAGCCGAGTAGAACAGCATCATCGCGGATGTGGGTGCGCTCCGGTCGTCCGGGAGATGATTGATCATGAATTTTCCTTTCGGAAGAATCATCCGACTCTCATAACGTGAGATGCCACTTGCTGGAAGGTCAAGCTCTGTGAGCAGGTCACTCTCCAGCTGCAAACAAGTCCAGTAAGCGAAATTATAGAGGTCTTGCACGGGTCCCTCCTCGAGTCTCTCATACCGCTTTGACCTCACAAGCATCTGACAAGCCCTTGAGGCCTGGGATATCCAACTGTGGCTCTGGAAAGGATGGGCCAATTGGCCAGCGTAAAGTCCGGCCAGCAGCCCTGTCTGAACATGTTCCAACTCGTTACCACCTTGAAGGTGGCCTAATATTGCGGCAGCGTATCCATAAAGAGCCAGGCCAGGAATGATCTGATGATTTCTTGTATGCCTTTGTTCATTATGCCTGATTGACACACATTGTCTTGATAGGTTCCCTCGGCTTTCATCTAATATGGATGAAGAAAGCTGGCTAGTAGCTTGCGTTGGCAGCACATCCGTAGAATGCGATCGCGGCATCTGAATAGCTGAATCGGGGTTTGGGGGCGAGAGAATATCATTGGCGTCATACACCCCGTTCCGAGAAAGTGGCGGCAGGGGACCAGGGATGGGCTGGCTGCGATAATCAATCCTCTGGTTCATAATAGGCCCGGGAAGAGGAGCAGGAACTTCGCAAATCGCACCAAGGGCTAGACATAGCATGATCATGGCATTGTCTATATTCTTTCCGACGCGTGGCCGCAGCGGCTTATACACAGTCTCCACGGACTCGCCTACATTCTCCTTGAAACATTTCCGTTTCGCTGGCGGCGGGCCGTCACGAGCTGATTGCATATTATTTGTGGCAGGAGAAGTATTGGGGCGGCAATAGCATCGAATGAACATATCGACCTTCAGATTGAGTTCACCCTGCTCAAGAAACGGGTGGAGATTGAACATGTTGGCGAGATAGCTTTCATAGTAACGCTGGGCAGTTGCAGCATCCAGTTTCAGGTTACCAAACTTGTCCACATCAACGTCGGAATCTAGCCCTGCACCGCCCCCATCGAGTCGGACACCGTCGAAGCCGCCATACCTTGGTAATTGGCTGCCATCAGCGGTGTACGCGATCTCGCCCTGGTCATAAATACTGATAAGACCACGCTCTTCTTCCAAACGCATCACATAATCGTCGTCGTATTCCTTGGGGAAAAGTAGTTTTTTAATCACAGGCCACGACAATAGCTTGTGAGCTGCTGTAGCGTGATCAACGGGAATAGAAAGCTCCCCCTCGGGTTCGTTTGTCGAGTCGTCGTACATCGCGGCTGCGTGTCGCAGCTGTTGACCATGTTTAGAAGTGTCCGCATCCTGACTCCCGGAGTCCAGGATACGAGTTACTGTGGCCTGGGTCTGTGACACGTCTGTTCTTAGAGGCCCGTCATGATCGACGGCCGGTTCTGGGACGAAAGAATGTTCCTCACCGGGTTGAATGGGCCGCGCCGGTTTATTACCGTCCAATAGGTCTTGCAGCATTAACTTATGACTCTGCTGGGTCGCATGCAGTTTCGACATAGGAATCGCCAGACGTTCCTGCACA